AATTATTGTAGTTTTTCTTAATTGAAGTTTATTTCTATGACAACTTGAACTTATTTATAATCTCTTTTTAATTTATTATTTTAATTTTAAATAATTTAATTAACATACACTCATATGTATGTACACACATTACAATGTTGTAGAGCGGTAGGTTGTTATATTATAAATTTTATTATAATTATAAATAATATTATAAATTTTTCTATAAATTTATAATATACAATAATTATTTTTAATATAAATAGTTCATATACAGACCAATTTTTTCTATAAATTTATAATATACAATAATTATTTTTAATATAAATAGTTCATATACATACAATTACACACATATAAGTATATGTTTGTTATGCTGGTGTTTTTGCTGTTTATTATTTTTATACCCTTCACCACACTGTGGTACAGGGTATTATGTCTTTGTGCATATGTTTGTAACAGGCAAAAGGAAACGAGGTAGACCCATGGTTCCTTTTGAGAATATGCATAGAATCACTTTTAAAGTCGATTTATGCATGTCCGTCCGTCCGTCTGTCCATGTATTTTTGTGAGCAAAGTACAGGTCGCATTTATGATCCGATATGGATGAAAACTGGCATAGTTCATTTATTTGGCCCAAGGACGAACCCTATTGAAATTGGGAAAAATCGGCCCAGATTTAGATATAGCTCCCATATATAGTTTCGTCCGATTTCATGTAAATGGTGCACCAAAGTCCCTATATATCCTTCGATTTGCACGAAATTTGGCATAACGTATTTTATTGAGCCTAGAATGATGTCTGCCAAACTTCTTGAAAATCGGTCCAGATTTAGATATAGCTCCCATACATAGTTTCGTCCGATTTCATGTAAATGGTGCCCCAAAGTTCCTATATATCTTTCGATTTGCACGAAATTTGGTACGGCCTAATCATTTAGGTCTAGAATTATGTCTGCCAAGTTTCGTGAAAATCGGTCCAGATTTGGATATAGGTCCCATATATAGTTTCGTCCGATTTCATGTAAATGGTGCCCCAAAGTCCACATATATCTTTCGATTTGCACGAAATTTGGCATAACGTTCTGAATTGATCCTAGAATGATATCTGCCATAGAATGATATCTGCCATAGAATGATATCTGCCATAGAATGATATCTGCCATAGAATGATATCTGCCATAGAATGATATCTGCCATATAGTCGGCCCCGTCCGACTTTACTACTTTCCTTACTGGTTGTTTTTTAATTATCTGAATTATCTCTCTACGGAATCACAACATATTTGCGGTTTCTTTTCCACTTGTTTTTTGTTTGATTTTTTTAAATTTGTTTCACAAACCTATGCTGAAGTTTGACTTCCTCCTATCGCATTTGAAATATATCTCACTACCCTAACTACTGATTATATAATAAAGCTTTATTAATTAGGAATAATGCAACAAAAAACCAATTGGAGAACAATAACAAGAAAGTAAAGGTAAAAGTAATATCCAACACCACCACTACAACAATGAATACTATGAGGGTCCTTAATACTAATTGAGGGTCCTTATATTAAATATTACACAAAAAAGTGTCCTTCTTGAATGATCATGCAATGGTAGGTGGGAAAATTTGAAAGCAGTAACTAAGAGTGTTCTTCTAAATATATATATATATATATATATATATTGAAGTGTGCCTCTCAAAAACGACTAATTAAAATCATTTTCCAGTCATGGGGCACCTTGTCTTCAAAATGCGTATTATGGTATATGTGGCATTTAAGCTTCTCAATGACATCGGTATACAATTTAAAGTGGCCTTTACTGAACAAAGCATAGTAAATATTTTTTTATTATACCGATGTAACCGGTAAATGTTCGGTTTTATTATTTGAAAATTTTGCTTAACGAGTTTATCATGAAATTACCTACTTAGCTGGGTTGTTATGGAAAATTTGTTCCAAAAGCCAAACTTAAAAAAGATTTCCAGGTGCGACGGTCTTGTGCGCAGCTCTTCCAATTGAAAGATCATGCTTTGTCTTCCACTAGATCTTTCCATCGAATTCGTGGCCTTCCTCTTCTGCGTGGACCATCAGTTGGCTCATGGTTCATTCGACGCCGATATTCACCGTCGATGCAGATCTGCCGGTAGATCTTTCGGAGAAACTTTCTCTCTCAAACACTCCAAGAGCTGTCTCATCTGCTTTCGCAAGTACCCATGCATCTTATGGAGTGTGAGTTTGATTTGGCGAGAGTTGGCCTTGTTTTTGAACTGCTTACTCAGACCATAGTAGTATCTGCTGGCCAACATTATTCGTCTCAGAACTGGTGTTATTAGTTTTTTTTGCGGTACCGAGCTATATAAAATCGTTCACTACCTCGAAACTGTAGTTTTCAACTTCCACAGTTGGTCCGAGTCTATTGGACTCTTACGCGTTGATCAGCTCAGATTAGCTTAGTCTTCTCCACTTTGGCAGACTCTTTCTCAATTCGTTCAAAGGTGACTGTTACTGCTCGCAATGTTCGACCCATTATGTCGATGTCGTTGGCGTAGGCGAGTAACATATTTTGGTACACAGAGTGCCATTTCTGTTCATATTTGCATCTTATGTTCAAAAGGTCTCACGACAAACTGTCACCTTGTCTATATCCTCGTTCCGTATTGAAGGACTCCTAGAGGTCACTTCCGACATTAACCGCTGATCTTATGCCACTTAAAATTATCCTACATAGTCGTATTCATTTTACAGGAAATTCGAACGCAGACGTGGCTTTAAACGCCTCTGAGCAGCTTGGGCCATCGAATGCGGCTTTATAGTCACGAACAGATGGAATTTGACAATGTGTTTCTCGAGGGTCTTTTCCAGGATTTGGCGCAGTGTGAATATCTGGTCTATGGTCGATTTCTCAGTTCTGAAGCCGCATTGGTATGGTCCAATAATAGCACTGACTTCAATCGTTCACACAGCTCACTGGATAGAACTGTATATGCGATGGGAAGGAGACTAATTCCTCTACAATTAACACATATAGTCTTGTTTCCTTATTTTTGCACAGGCACATGTTTCTGAGGTTCCAATCATTGGGCATGCATTCCTCTAACCAAATTGTATTAATCAGTTGGTGCACGATCCTAATCAGCATCTGACCACCGGCCTTAAATAGTTCGGCTGCTTATCTTTCGGCGCCTTTTGCTTAATTATTCTTCAGTCTATTAATTGCTATTCTGACCTCATCTTGGCTAGGTGGTTGGTATACACTATACCGTCATCTCTTATTGGTTTTGGGGTATCATCTACACCGTTACTATTTGATACCAGAAGCTTTGCGAAATGCTTCTTCCAGATCTTCAACACGCTATCTGTATCTGACACCAGTTTTCCTTCTTTATCTCTACAGGAAGATGTGCCTGCACCAAAAACTTCGGTTTGGTTTTTTACTATTGGTAAAATTTCCGAACTTCATTCTGACTCCTGCTTACGCCCACGTTTTTCTTGTTCTTTCTTCTTTTTCCTGAAAACACGTTTCTCCTCCCTCCTTTTCTCCCGATAATTCTCCATAACATTACGTGTTGCTACTGTCTGCAGAGTTGCCCTATACGCTGCGTTTTTCACATCAGTAGCATTACAACACTTTTGATCGTAACATGGATTTCTTGATGGTGGTTTTTGGTAACCATGTGTTGCTTTTGCTGCAGTTTGTAGGGAGTGGGCAATTTTTTCCCATAATATTAGCGGGACAAGGAGTGCCTTCGTCATGCAGGTGTGTAAGATCTGCGGATTAGGTTTCTGCTACCTGTTGTGTTTGCAGCTTTTCGACGTCGAGTTTCCGTGTTGTGATCTAACACACCTTTGTTGCTACAGGGTAGTGGTCCAAATCGATATTTTATTTCTCGTTGTTTGATCAGGAGAAATCCCGGCGGCCTTGTGTATATCGAAATGCTTGAATCTGGTGGTACTAACTACCATGTTTTTTGCTGCCGCGTAGTCAGTCGTTGTCGGATGTTTCTTCATGGAGGCTAAATTTTCCGACGGTAGCGACAAAAATATTTTCCCTTCCGATTTTTGCATTAAAATCTCTTAACAGCATTTTAATGTCTTGGCCAGGGCAGTGGTCATGTACTGTTTCTAGGCGCTGGTAAATTATGTCTTTAGTCTGTTCATCTTTGTCTTCCGTCGGAGCATTGGCGCAAATAAGACTGATGGTGAAGAACTTCACTTTTATAAGGATTATTGTAATTCGCTCGTCTACTGGAGTGAATCTGGAGACAAGGTCTTTTATTCTCCTATCAACCATAAATCCGAAGCCAAATTCGTGTCTCGTTTCATGGCAGCTATAATATAGGGCGTAATCGTTTGGTTTACTTACGCCTGTCCTTTTTCCAACCCATTTCCTGTAAGGCAATAATATCGACTTTGTACTTCTTGAGTACATCCGCCAAAGCGAACACTGCGCCTGTTCTGTACAACGAGCGCACATTCCATTTTTATATAGTTCTTATGGGTGAACTCGCGGTACATATAACCTCAGAATTTAAACGGATGACACCGCGGGGAGTGACCAAGATAAACCTGATTTTTGCCATGATAAAGCCAACCAGAGCCGTTATTTTGCATCACCCACCCATTTTAAATACAGTCCCAAATTCCACATGTGTATAGCATATATTGATCCAATGTCATAGTGAAGGTTGCCTCAAATATATAATTATCTTACATGTTATTTAATTTCCAGTGTGTAGCGGTATTGGATATTATACTGGTGTATATGATTGTGCGTCAATCTTATTATTATTTTTTTTTTCTAAATAAAATATTAAAACAATTTATTCGAAACCATAGTTATACAATATAATTACAATTTATAACATAGTATAATCGTTGGTTTTGATTAAATGTGCGTCATATTACCCACACACACACGTTCCCCCACACTATCCGATCTCTCTTAACATCCAGTTGTTGTCACATCTACAACTTCTTCACACCTCCTCAAAGACTTTTATTACTCCACCACCTACACTTCGATGCATTTCAAAGACTTGGACTATCCAATACGGTATTTGCCGTAACCACTGTACAACTGTTACCCATTGCAATTGAATTGCCAGCCATTGATAGATTCGTTGCTGCTGCTGTTTTGGAGTTTTTATGGCAAAATGTTCCACCATTCAAATGTATGCCACGAAAGGTATCGACAAATGCATGTCGAAAACTTGCGTTCTTGAAACAGTACGTAATTGGATTACAACAACTCGATGAATAGGCCAGCAATTGTAGGAAACTTATCGTTGTATAGTCGACGTATTCGTATGTTGCGGGGCCGATGAACATGGCCAGTGTGTTGATAACATAAAGCGGTGTCCAACAAATGAAAAATTCCAGTACCAACACGAAGAGCATTTTCACAACACGTTTTTTGCTTTCCAAGGTTTTTTCTATGTTCGATCTGAAAATGGGCAGAGGGAGAGAGATGGGTTAGATATATTAGTATTGTATTTCATAGGAAGTGGGTCAGATCTATTATAATACTTTCACTGGATATCAGCAGTTAAAGGAAAAGGTAAGGTACTTAAAGAAAACTGTATGCGAACTCAGGCTGATATTTTATTTCCGTAAATTATATGTATGACCCATGGACTAAAGTTCCAAGACCGCATGTTGATGTCCTTGGCTATAAAATACAATAACGCCCAAATTAACCCCCTTACCCTCCAAATGACCCAATCGAGTCATTTTACTTTTCCATTAAGTTTCCTTCTATTTCCCCTTTGAAAATTGTATTTACCCTTTAACATATTAAAATTTCCACACACACACCCACTCAGAAAACTTACCTTCTCAATGCCGATTCAGTTATGCGTAAACTTGGCGAGCTATTCAGTTTACGCTTCTCTGTGCCACAACCGCCACCACCACCGACACCGCCACCATCATTTGTTGACATGTATGGTGGTTGATGTTGCTGCTGATGATATTGTCGCTGCTGTAGCCCATATGTTGCCATCGCCACCGACTGATGTGTCGGTTTAAGTTGTCTTGGAAACTTTGTGGACAACGCATTGAGGGAGTGACATGAGGACGATGTTGTCTCCTCACTATCAGCACTAGTTCTACTGTTACGATTGAATGACTTGAAAGAGGCAGAACGCATGCAATAAAGTTGTTGGCGGCGACCATCTGTGGTCTTGGCCACAATTGCACGTTTACTATTTAATGGTTTAATAGAGGTTGTGGTTTGTTCGCCATTTGTGCTCAGTTGGGTTATGTCATCTGAAAAGAATACAGGGGAGAGCGGAGAAATACAGATAATTATAAAAGGTGTACATGCAAACAATATATGGGAGGAATATTAAAATACATATACATACAAATTTACACACAGAGAATATTAAAATTTCTTTGAATATTAAAATTTCAATATATATTTTTTATCCAATTGAAAATATCAGAAAAAATCTCAGCAATAAGGCGTTTACGGAATTTTTTAATTTGGTAATTTTTTTTAAGGACATGGACCATCTCACAAATAAGGAGTGGATTTTTAATCAATATTTTTTCAAGGACCATCTCAGCAAAAAAGCGTGGATTTTTAAGAAAATTTTTTTCAAGGACAATCTCAGCAATAAAGCGTGGATTTTTGAAGTATATTTTTTCAAGGACCATCGAAGCAATAAAGCGTGGACAGCAATAAGGCGTGGATTTTTGAAGTATATGTTTTCAAGGACCATCGCAGCAATAAGGCGTGGATTTTTTAAGTATATTTTTTCAAGGACAGTCTCAGCAATAAGGCGTGGATTTTTAAGAAATATTTTTTCAAGGACCATCGCAGCAATAAGGCGTGGATTTTTTAAGTATATTTATTCAAGGCCAATCTCAGCAATAAGGCGTGGATTTTTAAGAAATATTTTTCAAGGACAATCTCAGCAATAAGGCGTGGATTTTTAAGGTATATTTTTTGAAAATCAATCTCAGCAATAAGGCGTGAATTTTTAAGGTATATTTTTTGAAAATCAATCTCAGCAATAAGGCGTGGATTTTTAAGAAATATTGTTTGAAAGACCATCTCAGTAAAAAATCGTGGATTTTTAAGGAATATTTTTTTAAGGACCATCTCATCAATAAGGCGTGGGTTTTTAAGGAATATTTTTTTAAGGACCATCTCATCAATAAGGCGTGGGTTTTTAAGGAATATTTTTTTAAGGACCATCTCATCAATTAGGCGTGGATTTTTAAGGAATATTTTTTAAGGACCATCTCATCAATTAGGCGTGGATTTTTAAGGAATATTTTTTTAAGGACCATTCTTATCCATTTAAAATGTTTTTTGGTCATAACCATAAATAATTTGTATATGTGGGGAACGAAAACAACTTCAGCCCATTCCATTCCAAAACCATTGTCACATTGCCCATAATTAGAATACACATTTGGCCAACAATGAAATAATGTGTGGGGATATATGTATGTTTTGCACAATTAAAATAAAATTTATGATATGTTGTGTGTATACTTAAATATTTCCATACATTTGCATAAATCCAATTTTGCTGGGATCTGGGATGAATAACAATTCACATTCTTACGCATTGTCATGTCACTTTGTCAAACACAATACCCCCCAAAACTGGTAATGACACAAAGAGTAATAGCTAGAACTAGTTGTATGATATGTTTAATAACACAAGACCAATGCTCATTTGCTCATAGTATGGAAAGTTTCGTACAAATCATAATTATACCCTACACAACTATGTTGTCAGGGTATTATAGCTTTGTGTAGCCCCAACAGTTTGTAACGCCGCGGAATATTGCTCCTAGACCCACCTTTAAGTATACCGATCGTCTTATCTCGACTAGGTGAGTCGATCTAGACATGTGTGTCCGTCCGTCCGTCCGTCTGTCCATTATAATTTGTAAACACGATACAGGCCACAGTTGTGGACCAATATTCACGAAATTTTGCATGTAGGATGTGTGTTTTTGGGAATGATCGGTTAATATTTAGGGGATGAAATGGACCAAATACTAATTTTTTGTCGGTTTTTCTGGTCGCTCCAGAGGCCGCAATAATGGCCCGAACATCGTGAAATTTTCCATGGAGAAGGGGATCATGCCAAAGAATAAGCATGCCTGTTTTCATAAAGATCGGTCAATATTTAGCGGGTCAAATGGACCCAGACTTTTGTGTGAAAAAGGACAAAATTTGTATTCTATAGCGTATATATTTACCCCTGAAGGACATAGACCCGCGAAGTTTATATTATATCCAAGATGAGTGGTTGACCTTTAAATTAATACCAATTATATTGTTGTAAGTGCTCGGATATGGGAGTTACACCTAAATATTTACAGGTATCTCCGTATTCGTATATTATTTAGTAACCAGTTTCACTCTGGAGAGGGAAACTATAGCGCTGATCGCTTTGAAATGTTCCATGGGGTTCCAGTTATGGTCAAGGATAACGCATATAATTTTCGGTGATGATCAGATAATAATTTTGGAATGATGTGGACCGGGTATTATAATTTTGTGCAGACCTAAAAGTTTGTAACGCCGCGAAATATTGCTCCTAGTTTTTTGCGTTATTTTCGAGTCGATCTATAGACCACAAATGAAAGCCGAACATCACAACACTACCCACGGTGAAGGGAATCTGGACAATAGCTGTACTGAATACTCGTAATATTCGGAAAATATGTCAGTGTGAGGAAGAGGTGCTGTTTACCTCTAATCGGTCAAGAGGGTGCAAATATTACGAAATATTGCCTAGGCTCGGAATATTCATCTGCAGAAAAATTGAGTTCCGTGGTAGTTGTGTAGGGTATCGTATGGTCGGCCCCGTCCGACTATACTGCTCCGCTCACTGGTTTTTCAGCTATTGTTAATTTTTTCTGGGTCTCAGTTCTTTGGTAATCTTCAAAGAATGCTGTCCAACAAAATGGCTTATTTATTCATGGAATGTTTGACTCCTACTCAAGAGTTATTTTAGGATGTCAGTGTGATATTCATTGAAATGTCATAGATGAAAAATTATTCAGTTATGTTGATGACTTTATGACATTGTGAATAATGGCCAAAATCTTATTTAATAATTTATCATTTTACCAAAGTATGAATTAAAGTAAGATGAAAAGTGGTTACAAAGTGATACATTTAAATTATTGAGATACATTCTTCCTAAAGATATTTAAAAAAATTAAAATTTAATTTAAAAACCACGCCAATTTATAAACCGCTAAAAATCATTGAAAAATAAAATTTAAAAATATCCACGCACATGTTCCACCCTGTAAAAACAATGTCAGTAACAATTAAACAAATTTAAAAAATCACTTTTGATTTTTGAAAAATATTATTAAAAAGAGCCACATCTATTGATGCAAACTGCAAATACACGCCTCGAAAGTGAAGTTAATTTTCCAACTATTACTGTAGAACCATCCAGGCTCTTCGCAAAATAATGTGGTTTCTCAACATTTTTTTCTGATTTGTTTACCACCCCTCTCACGTCTTCATTCTCTGTCATATTTATCCACACACTTTATTCGGAAAAAAAAATTATATATCCTGCATTGGTGTGTACACAAAAAATGAGTCTTCTATTTGTATTCGATACATAAATATTAAATCAAGCCAATAACTTGTGACCACAGCAAAAAAGTTTATTTCTGTTATTCGAATTTATAGTTAGTTATCTATGTTCAATTTTCTATTTTTGCTTGCGGAATTGTTGGTAATAATTCAATTATATTCGCTTTGTATCTGTCTAAATGTCCGAGTGGTTTGACCACAAATAACCATTTTTTATTGACCATAAATAACTATGTTTTCTACGTTTCCTGAAATATGTACTATTCGTGAGGGTATCCTTCAGAAAACATAAAAAGTATTCGTGATGTTTTTCTACCACATCAATATCTGAAAAAAATATTCTTTAAAAATCCACGCCTTTGTTGATGATAGTCCTTGAAAAAAATATTCTTTAAAAAATCCACGCCTACTTATAGTCCTTGAAAAAAATATTCTTTAAAAAATCCACGCCTACTTATAGTCCTTGAAAAAAATATTCTTTAAAAAATCCACGCCTACTTATAGTCCTTGAAAAAAATATTCTTTAAAAAATCCACGCCTACTTATAGTCCTTGAAAAAAATATTCTTTAAAAAATCCACGCCTACTTATAGTCCTTGAAAAAATATTCTTTAAAAAATCCACGCCTACTTATAGTCCTTGAAAAAAATATTCTTTAAAAAATCCACGCCTACTTATAGTCCTTGAAAAAAATATTCTTTAAAAAATCCACGCCTACTTATAGTCCTTGAAAAAAATATTCTTTAAAAAATCCACGCCTACTTATAGTCCTTGAAAAAAATATTCTTTAAAAAATCCACGCCTACTTATAGTCCTTGAAAAAAATATTCTTTAAAAAATCCACGCCTATTTATAGTCCTTGAAAAAAATATACTTTAAAAAATCCACGCCTACTTATTGTCCTTGAAAAAAATATTCTTTAAAAAATCCACGCCTATTTATAGTCCTTGAAAAAAATATTCTTTAAAAAAATCCACGCCTATTTATAGTCCTTGAAAAAAATATTCTTTAAAAAATCCACGCCTATTTATAGTCCTTGAAAAAAATATTCTTTAAAAAATCCACGCCTATTTATAGTCCTTGAAAAAAATATTCTTTAAAAAATCCACGCCTATTTATAGTCCTTGAAAAAAATATTCTTTAAAAAATCCACGCCTATTTATAGTCCTTGAAAAAAATATTCTTTAAAAAATCCACGCCTATTTATAGTCCTTGAAAAAAATATTCTTTAAAAAATCTACGCCTATTTATAGTCCTTGAAAAAGTATTCTTTGAAAAATTCACGCCTATTTATAGTAGTCGCCAAAATATTCTTAAAAAATCCACGCCCATGTATAGACCTCGAAAAAATATCCTATAAAAAACCACGCCTACTTAAAGTCCTTAAAAATGTTCTTTAAAAAATCCACACCTAGAAAAATGTACTTTAAACCAGTGAGCGGAGCAGTATAGTCGGATGGGGCCGACCATATGATACCCTACACAACTTCCACGAAAATCTAACTTTCTGTGATTCTATATTCTGACCTTGGGCAATATTTCGCGATATTTGCACACTCTTGACCGATTAGAGATCAACCAATATTACTAATATTCAGTACAACAATTCTAATTTCTTGGCCATATTCCCTTCACGGTGGGTTGTGTTGCGATGTTCGGCTTTCTATTAAGTTCTCGGTCCACTTCATCCCAAATTTATTATCTGATCATCACCGAAAATAATAGGCGTTATCCTTGACATTACATGGCTCCCCATGGAAAATATCTAAGCGATCAGAGCTATATTTCCGCCCTATAGTGTGGTAATGGGTTACTAAATAATATCTGAATACGCAAGCACCTGTAAACTATTTAAGGGTAACTCCATCATCCGTGTTCCTACGACAATGTAATTGGTATCAATTTAAAGGTCAACCACTCCTCTTGGATACACTATCAACTTCTCGGGTCTATGTCCTTCAATAGTAAATATATATTCGCCATAGAATACAAATTTTGTAAGTGTCCATTTGACCCGCTAAATATCTTTATCAAAACAGGCATGCTCATTCTTTGGCCCAATCCACTACTCCGTGCAAAATTTCCCGATATTCGGGCCAGAAAAACCGACAAAAATTTAGTATTTGGTCCATTTCACCACCTAAATATTAACCGATCTTTACCAAAAACAATAGGGGTTTTCATTAGCCAAAACCAATCCTACATGCAAAATTTCGTGAAGATTGGTCCATAACTGTGGCCAGTATCGTGTTTACAAATTATAATGGACAGACGCACGGACACACAAGTCTAGATCGACTCAGCTGATCGAGATATGACGATCGGTATACTTGAAGGTGGGTCTAGGACCAATATTTCGCGACAACATAGTTGTGTAGGGTATAAAAATTAACGCCTTCTATAATGGTCCCTGATAGGACATTCTTTACAAAATCCATGTTGATATTGATCCCTGAAAAAATGTTGTTTTTTTAGTCCGCGCTATATTGATTTTTAAATTTTTTCCTTAAATCTTTTTCAATCTACTCTCTTTTGATCCTGGTAAAAATATTCTTTTATGTAATCCACTTCGAGTGTGGTTCAGTTGATCCTTGAAAATCTGCAAATTAATTATTTTCATATTTTTATTCAATGTCATTTTTGAGTCCTTCGACATTTTTCATATGACCGAACAAATTTAATAAAATAACAATCGATTTTTCATCTGTTGCTCAAACAAAAAATATTAATAATATTGTATCACACATGTGATCCGGAAATCGCCATCAGTATTTGTTTAATTTTTACCCTCTCTCTTTTCTCCTCTCCACAAAAAACGTCCTTCACATTCGGAAAAAGTTACCGAACATAGTTTGTTATTGTATTAACTTACCATAGCAATGCTGTTGTTGCTGCTGCTGTATCGATGATGATGAAGATGCCTTTATTTGCGACTGATGTTGTTGTTGTTGCTGTGTTAATTCGTTATTGGATTCTTTTATTTTCTTACAAATAACTTCTGTTTCCGGACGACATCGGCCATTATTACCAATTGTCTGGGTGGTCGTGGTGGAGCTATCTAAAGATTTTGATATCAAATATCTGCAACGGTCAGCAGCATTGTTTGAGAATTTATTATCCCTCTCATTATATGCGGCAGCGGCGATGGAGGATTCATTTGGATTTTTCACGTGACCACCACGCACGGAACCACCCCCTTTCCGCGAATGATAACGAAGTGAAAAGTTCAATTTGAAGACATTTGATGGCTTCGTTTCCGCTCCCACCGTCGTCGTCACTTGGGTATATATTTTACCATCGGCCATTGGCATCGCATGGGCATTGCTAACAACAACACCCGTAACGCCTGCTGTTCCCGCATTCACCACATTATTATTTTTACTGCCAAATATGAGAGCCTTCTCATCTTTAATGCCCAAATATAATGTTCGCGTTATCAGTATGTAGGCAATACACAAAATTCCCAGCGGCAAGACAAGCAACACCAAATCCAAGAAGATGTTGTAGGAACGCTCATAGCCCACCGCATGCTGTGGCCATTGTTCGCGACACTTACGAAGGCCTGGCGTAAAGTGGAAAATAAAAAAGAAACAAAAACACAGACTTTAATTTGTTTTCATTTAATATATTTGGTAAATTAAAAAGTAAGAGGAGATGATGATGATGAGGTTTTTTTCGGTCATGAAGAACAGCAACACACCCATAAAAGGAAAATTGACATTTTGGCATCCCGTTGGGCTGTGTATAATGACATTGATTGTTTCATTTAAAGAGCCTTAATGTTATTCAGCATGGGATGCCTGTTTATAACTTTTTTGATCTAAAAAGATTTTTTTCTGAACCGAGACAATAAAATCGGTAAAATGGGAGAAAATGAAAACCCTAGCAAAATTCCAGAGAATAATGTTTCTATGGCTTCATTTCCTGAAAAGTAAGAAAAACGTCTGTCATGCCTAAATTTATTTGAAAACCCACCACAATGAGGTGGCCATTCAAAATGCCTGAATTTTTTACGGAAAATATTCTTTAAAAAATCTTCTGTTATTGGTCTCTGACCTCTACATGACTTTTGACAAATCTTTCATTAAAATATCACACTCAGTGGTCTAAAAAACCACTTGAAATAATAAATGTACATAAAATTGGATATGTATGAAGTCCGCAAATCTATTGCATAGGCATTCTACCAAACCTTTTCATTGCAATAAGATTCCCCCAAAAATTTTAATTTCCCCATTTTCCTAAACATCCTAAGGATTCGCCATAAATATCAAATTACTAAGTTTGTTCGAGTTCACATGGGTCGATTGAAATTGTATATCCTAAATAAATAATTGACATTTTTTACATCCTTTTGACAAAAAGGACGAACAAGATAAAAATACGGAACATATAAATTTAATTTATTAAGGATCAAAATAAAAGTTTCCAAAATAACACTTCCTTTTTCGCTATGAAAATAATGATGTTGATATGCCAATTTTGACTTCTTCTTTAATGTAATTTTCTTCTCCATTACAAACAATTAATAAGGGATTTTGGTTGAAACTGGTACAGCTATGGTGCAATAAGATAAATCGAAAAATAATGAGTTCCTTTTGGGAGAGCCATGAAGAGGGTTATTACGAATGGGTGGGTGGTATAATTGTACAAAATATATTCACATCCGGATTTAATGGCTCATATATTTGGGCGAACTCTATTGAAATTGGGAAAAATCGGTTCAGATTTAGATAGAGCTCCCATATGTGTTTTCGTCCGAATTCATGTAAATGGTACACCAAAGTACCCATATATCTTTCCATTTGCACGAAATTTGGTATAGCATACTGAATTAAGTCCATAGTGATGTGTTCTAAGTTTCGTGAAAATCGGTTAAGATTTAGATATAGCTCCCATAAATTTTCGTCCAATTTTATGTAAGTGGTGCACCAAAGCCCCTATATATCCTTGGATTTGCACGAAAATTTGCACAAAGTATCAAACATTTGTACAATATACCCAAAGTGGTGAAGGGTATCACATAGTCGGCCCAGCCCGACTTTACAGCTTACCTTACTGGTTTCAAAGACTATTAAAGAAATAGGAGTGGATTTGTTACACAACATTTTTTCAAGGACCATGATACCAATAGGCGTGAAGTTTTTTTACCCTTCACCACACTGTGGTACAGGGTATTATGTCTTTGTACATATGTTCGTAACAGGCAAAAATAATCGAGATAGACCCATGGTTCCTTTTGAGAATATGCATGGAATCACTATCTGAGTCGATTGACGTATGTCCGTCCGTCTGTCCATGTTAAATTGTAAACAAAGAAAAGGTCGCATTTATGATCTGAATTGGATGAAATTTGGCACAGCTAATTTGTTTGGCGCAGGGACGATCCCTATTGAAATCGGTTCAGATTTAGATATAGCTCCCATATATATTTTCGTCCGATTTATGGTAAATGGTGTACCAATGTTCCTATATATGTTACGATTTGCACGAAAGTTGACACAGCGTACGGAATTAAGTCTAGAGTGATGTGTGCTAAGTTTCGTGAAAATCGGTTTAGATTTAGATATAGCTCCCATATATAGTTTCGTCCGATTTTAGGTAAATAGTGCACCAAAGTCCCTATATATATTTTGATTGGCACGAAATTTGGCATAGGATACTGAATTGAGTGTAGAGTGATGTGTGCTAAGTTTCGTGAAAATCAGTTCAGATTTAGATAACAACCCTCATATATAGTTTATCACACTGTATTTGTCCATATGTTTGTTAAATCCTGTGGACAAAGTACAGGATATTTTTTTTCGATTCGAATTTTTTTGAGGTGCGTTGTCCTGCTATGAAATTTGACACAAAATCGCATTTTTACATCTAACATTAATGCGTGCTATTTCATAAAAATCGATTTTTTAGCAGATTTAAAAGATATAGCTCCCATATATAGTTTCGGATTTTTTTAGGTAAAAGTGCACCAATATAAAATTTTTGAACCTGGAAATCTTTTAATTTGCACGAATTTTAGCATAACTTACTGAATCAAGTCTAGAATGATGTGGCAAAGTTTCGTGAAGATATAGCTCCCTTCAGATTTAGATATAGCTCCCTTATATATTAATTGGTGCAGCAAAGTCTCTGAAAGTCATTAGATTTACACGAAATTTGTCATAGCGTACTGAATTAAGGCTAGAATGACTTGTGCTAAGTTTTCACGAAAAATCGGTTCAGGTTTAGATATAGCTCAGATATAGATATATAACAAAAAGATATAGATATATACCTAAAGTGGTGAAGGGTAAAATATATAGATATATACGTAAAGTAGTGAAGTAAAAGTACGTTTCTTCAAGGGCTGTTACACCAATTGGCATGGATTTTAAAGAATATGTATCTGTATATTTTTCAAGGACTATCACTCCAAAAAGCATGGTTTTTAAAGGATATTTTTTAAGACTATCACACCAAAAAGTTTGGATTTTTAAAGAATATTTTTGAAGGACCCAAAATCGTGGTTTTCAAAGGATATTTTTTAAGGACTATTACACCAAGAAGCATAGATTTTTTAAAGGAAAAATTTGAGGGACTATTACAATAAAAATCATGGACTTTATAAGGTATAATTTCATGGACTATTACACCAAAAAAGCGTAGATTTTTAAAAAAATATTTTCAAGGACTATTACACCAAAACGAGTGAATTTTTAAAGAATATTTTTTAATGACTATTACACCAAAAAGGTAAATAAAGGAGATTTGCAGGGAGTAGTGATACTTGGCCAAAAATATTGGATTTCGCTATGGATTGTATTTTTGACAAATAGTATGGCATTTTGTAAAGGACGAAAACGATGTAGTTTCGGATTATGGCACACACATGAGTATCCAAAGTTGATTTTCATTTACACATTTTTTTAATGTTTTTATCAACTTCTTTAACGTTTTGCATTTACACATCAACTTTTAAATGTCACTTTGTTTCCACGGAATGACTTTTCCACCGATTTCATTTGCATTCGTACACTCAGCTATAAAATGTCAATAATAGTTAATAAATTATTTGTGAAACCACTTATTTGTCATATATTTTTAATATTTTCTCCGTTTGTGTGTGTGTTGTTGTCATGAATCGGCCTTTAAACAAACATTAATCAAAATTAAAAGTTTTGCGTAAACAAAAAGAAACACAACACAAAACTAATGGCTGTCGAAGCCATCAACATTGACCATTGCCACTTCGAACTTACCCTGCCTGCTGGTCGGTATTAATTGGCTGAATATTGCAATGGGCGCCATACAGACGATACTGCCAATCCATATACAACCAATTATTTTATAGGCATGATTTATGGTCTGCCATGTTCTCGAACGTAAAGGGTGACAAATGGCATAGTAGCGTTCACAGGATATGGCTACCAAAGTCCAGGATGAAACTGCCACAGATGCAGCTGAAATTATACAAAAAATGAAAGAAATTGTATTATTTTTTTGGTTGTTTGTTTCGTAATTTGATGCTGTTTGTTCGATTTGAGTGGTATTTCCCAACTACCACTACCCCGTGTTGCATAATATAATGCAGTTATGCAACGAAGGGTAATGGGAATTGTGATTCGTTTGGAAATTAATTTTCAATATGCTGGCTTTATGCGCGTTTTTAAATTATGACGATAAATTGTATTGAAGGTAATTATTTTCATGGTTGATACACAGTTAATAGCGATACTCCAAAATGTATATTTAAGGACCAAATGTCTAAGTCAAAGTCCGTATTTAATATTTATATTCGGGCGTTTATTGGTCCTATCAGGTCTATGCAACATTCAGTAGAAAATCGGCTATGAAAGTAAGCAGCAATAATCTGTAGGCCTCAGCAAGGCATTTTTTCTTCTATAGAAAAAAACTGGAGGCCTCATTAAGGCTTTTTTCTTGGGAAAAAATCTGAAGGGCTCATTTGTGAGACATTTTTCTATAAAAAACAATCTGGTGGCCTCAGTGAGGCATTTTTTTCTATAAAAAATGTGGATACTTCTGTAAGGCTATACAAAAATGGGGATAGTTTTTGGTTGGAAGATTTGATACTGAATAATAACTCTATATATCAGTACGAAAACTTCTTGCCATAAGCTCTTCTTACACATTCTCAAAGTTCAACGTATATAGTCGGCCCGCCCTACTTCACTTACTTCTTTATTACAACAACAATTATTCCATTTTTATACAATAAACCTTTTTTTACGCAAACTTCAAATACTTACTAAGTATGTAAGTATTTATTAACTAAATCTCGGCCTGCTACAAAAGAATATATGAACACTTTTAAGTACACATTTATACGTTAATGTTTATGTATCTGTGTACATGGAGTACCACTGTGTACTGTGAATTTATTTCAACCATTACATTTAAGTTGCGCCAGCACTGCAATAAAGTAGACAACTCCCTGTTTTCCCTGCTACACCCAGAATTTCAAAACCTTTAACAACAATGTAAATACAGGAATCTTACATAAATGTAAGTGTATGTAAATAGTATATATGTATTCAGATACATATATGAATGTACCATTACACCTACAGAACATTGAGCAAAAATATTGTGGTTGCTCTTGCCTAGTTCTTTGACATTAGGCGGAAAATGTTCTTTACGAGAAAAGTTCATAGACAGAATATTTAGAGCGTCCATAAATATAAGAATTGCGCTACTTGCAGAGTAGGACTTTTCTGTCACAAATTAAGAACCAGTGAACGGAGTAGTATAGTCGGACGGGGCCGACCATACGATACCCCACAAAACTACCACGGAACTCTAACTTTTGTGCGGATGTTTATTCCGAGCATGGGCAATATTTCGTGATATTTGCCCCCTTAGAGATCAACAGCACCTCTTCCTTACATTTTCCTAATATTACCAATATTCAGTACATCCCTTCTAATTACTTGTATATATATTTCTGACCTCTAATGTGGTAATGTGTTACTAAATAATATTGGAATACGTAAGGACCTGGAAATATTGAAGTGTAACTCCCACATCCGAGTGCATATGACAATATAATTGATATTAATTTAAAGGTCAACCACTGTTCTTGGATAGACTATCAATTTTTCGGGTATACATCCTTCAGAATAAATATAGAAACTAATTTTGTAATTTATAAACACAAACGTCTGGGTCAATTTGACCCGCTAAATAATGACCGATCTTTACCAAAACAGTCATGCTTATTCTTTGATCTGATCCGATAATTGCGGTCTCTGGAGCGACAGGTAAAGCCGACAAAAATTAAGAATTTGGTCCATTTCATCCCCTATATATTAACCGATCTTTACCAAAAACAATAGGGGTCTTTATTGGCCAGATACCATTCTACATTTCGTGAAGATTTATCCATAACTGTGGCCTGTATCGTGTCTACACCAATGTCAAGATCGACTCAGCTAGTCGAGGTATGACGATCAATATACTCTACAATATTTCGCTGCGTTACAAACTCTTGGGACTGCACAAAGCTATAATAACCTGACAACATAGTTGTGTAGGGTATAATGAGGTTAAAACAAAATTGTATCGCAATCGCTAGAACATAACATATTTGGTGAACAATTTAGAGCCAATCGGCCGAAATATATACAGGAGCTGTATATAAATGTTGACTGACTTTCACTAAAAATCTAGTCTTGAAGTCTAGCCAAATTTCCGTATGTTCTGCCAAATTTTTTGTGTATCGAACAAAATTTGGGTCTTCCACCATATACATATCTAATCGGGCTAAAATATATTTGGGAGCCAGGGACGTACGCAGGGGGGCTGACCGGGGGCACGGGGGGCCCGGCCCCCAATAATCCCTGCGTAATTTAGTGCTCTAGGAAAACTGTACAATCTGGCATATATACACTGTGTATAATTTTGACTCAAAGAACGCGACTTGGGTAAACTAATGTGGAATCGGATAATCCTCTATATGGGATTCTAAACTTATTTTTCCAGTTTCAATTGGATTCGTCCTTGAACTAAATAAGTGAACTGTGCCATATTTCATCCAATACGGATTACTAATACGACCGGCACAGATGGAGTCTATTAAAAAATATTTTTACAAGATCTACGCTTTTGAAAACAATATTTAAAATATACTCTTATATAGTCCTACAAAAATTGTTTAGTTATATTGTTAACAAATGTATCCTCATCCCTTTGAATTGTCTGTGACGTTTGAATAGTCTTTGAGGGAATCTAATAAAACAGACACTCCTGATCGACACCACTAGCAAAATTTAATTTGTTGCCAAAATGGAATACAAATGCTTCGGAGTCTCTCATCGACTTTTACCTAATTCCTGATAATGAAAGAGTTTCAGTTTTTTTGATGCGGTTATGTGGTGTTTCTTGTTGCTAAAACTTTGGCAACTATTTTTCAGCGTTGATTTTTTTTACTAAAAGACAAGAAATTTATTCTTCTTCTGTCAGATACCAGGAACCACAAGAATATTACACCAGTTGTTGTTATAATTTGTAAAGAGAAAAACTACAATTTTACGGACGGATCTTCTTCTTATTCTAAACTTTGTATTGGTTACAAAAAAATATTTTTCCGAGTTAAAAGATTTGTATTACAATCTTAGAAAATTATTGGAAATTGAAGAAAACGAAAAAAGTTTGAAAAACTTTAGTGGTATCTGTTATTCCAGTGAAAGTAAATTTGTAACAAAATATATCAAATTTAAAGATTTGGATGAGTAATTGCCACATTGGAAAGTATTTAAAACGAAAAAATATAAAAAACCAGTGAGCGGAGCAGTATAGTCGGACGGGGCCGACCATACGATACCCTACACAACTACCACGGAACTCAAATTTTCTGCGTATGTTTATTCCGAGCCTGGACAATATTTAGTGATATTTGCACCCTCTTGTCCGATTAGAGATAAACAGCACCTCTTCTTCACACTGACATATTTTCCGAATATTACGAGTATTCAGTACAGCTATTGTCCAGATTTTCTTTCACCGTGGGTTGTATTGTGATGTTCGGCTTTCATTTGTGGTCTATAGATCGACTCGAAAATAACACAAACAATTAAGTTTTCGGTCCACTTCATTCCAAAATTATTATCTGATTATCACCGAAAATTATAGGCGTTGTTCTTGACCATAACTGGAACCTCATGGAACATTTCAAAGCGATCAGCGCTATAGTTCCGCTCTCCAGAGTGATAATGGGTTACTAAATAATATACGAATACGGAGATACCTGTAAATATTTAGGTGTAACTCTCACATCCGAGCACATACAACAATATAATTGGTCTTAATTTAAAGGTCAACCACTCCTCTTGGATATAATATCAACTTCTCGGGTATATGTCCTTCAGGGGTAAATATATACGCGATAGAATACAAATTTTGTCATTTTTCACAAAAAAGTCAGGGTCCATTTGACCTGCTAAATATTGACCGATCTTCATCCAAACAGGCATGCTTAGTCTTTGGCCCGATCTGCTTCTCCATGCAAAATTTCACGATGTTCGGGCCCTTATTGCGGCCTCTGGAGCGACCAGAAAACCCGACAAAAATTTAGTGTTTGGTCCATTTCATCCCCTAAATATTAACCGATCTTTCCCAAAATAGGGGTCTTCATTGGCCACAACCCATCCTACATGCAAAATTTCGTGAAGATTGGTCCATAACTGTGGCCTGTATCGTGTTTACAAATTATAATGGACAGACGGACGGACGGACACACATGTCTAGATCGACTCAGCTAGTCGAGATATGACGATCGGTATACTTGAAGGTGGGTCTAGGACCAATATTTCGTGGCGTTACATACTTTTGGGGCTGCACAAAGCTATAATACCCTGACAACATAGTTGTGTAGGGTATAAAAATTCAGACTGTCAATTTTGTTTTAAGAAGTTTTTGATGATACGATTTATCCACGGCAGGGTGGATTAAAAATACCTACAATCGATGAGGATTTTTGTAACTTTTGTATAGAGAAAATGAAAATAAAATTAGGGTAGGACAGTGGCCATGCCGAAAATGATGCGTAACTTCTGTTGAAATATATATATTGACATATATTGAAAATTGTCTGGGAAGAAATTTTTTAACAGCCATGATACCCTAATGCCAAATTCCAAACACTTCGTACTACTAAAATATGGTAACTCAGTACAAAGTCTATCAAAGTATGCACAAATATTCCGATATATCATTTTTTAGATACCAAACACCGTAGAAGACGGAGCAATTCGCTGATGTAAGTGAAAGTGTTGCGGAAACCACGAATGTACCGATTATGACGTACTTTGAATTTAGCTCTACATCTATATCCACATAAAATCCATCTCACGCAGCTCGTAGATACGTTGAATGGGTATGAACAGAAGGCGGTGGACGTCAATTTGTATACCCTCATCCTTGTGGCTAATATTGGCTTTTATTC